ATGATCATTGTAGGTCCCTTCCAACTGAGAATAGTCTATTCTATTATAATTTCATATATTTCCTGAATTTTAGAAAGTCTGTCATTGGTATAAATGAGTACACTGCTGAATGGCTTGAGGACCTGCTTAAGATGGTGGTGTGTTGTTCTTCTGTCATGTGAATGGTTTTTCTGGAAGGCCAAGTCATTGGTGTGTGAGTCACTTGTGGTCTGTGACTCTGTTCCTCAGATTTTCATCAGTAATAATGTGTTAACTCTGGTTTGATTACACTTAGAGGCATGCTTTCACTTAATCTGAAAAATTGAAACACTTTTCCTGTTTTGTTTTGGTTTTGAAGGTGTATCTGACCAATTTTCTGTATGTTTTTGGCTTAATCTTTGATGCTTTCCTCTCTTGTTCCAATTGCTGACCTGTCTGACTTACGGGCTTGCTGTGTATATTCCCATGTCAGGAGATTAATCATTGGCTAGAGAATCAGGGCTTTTTTTCATTGTTGCTGTCAGACCATCTGTGTGAATGATCTTTTACCCATTTTCCTGCAAGCAATCAATCTCGTAAGACTGTCAGCTGCTGAAATGAGTTTTAGTTCTTACTGAGTTGTTGTTGCAGTGCTCTCATTTATCCTGTGGTCAGCTAATTAAGTCTGAAATGATAGCTATTTAAATATGTGGTTCTCTTTTTCCTGTTCACCATTTTAGCATCTGGTCTACTGAATATGTCTTTGTCTGACAGAGCTCTCTGAAAAATGGCAGTTTTGCTTTGTCAGAGTTGCAGAGTGCTATCCTTCTTGAGGTTTTGAGTTGCTTTCATGTATGCACCTTTCTCCCCCAAGGCTTTAATTTTGAGAGAGAAGCAGGACAGCATGGGGCTGTCATAGCCATCTCATTTTGCGTATCCTTTCTTAAGCTTGCAACCACAGAACTGGTATCAGCATTGTGGTTTACCCTTACTGGTTTACTTTGCTTTTCTATAACCCTCCTAGCTGAAAAAGCAAAAAGAATCGGAACTCTGAAGCTGTGCCCGTACAGCTAGGCACCTCACCACTTTCAAAAAAGCAAGCTGGGAAAACATTACAATGTCCGAGAGTTAGTGTAATAAAACTTGGTTTGAGATTGTATGGATAGGGCAGGGTGGTATTTATTTGTGAAAAAATGAGTTGATTTTCATGCATTCACACAGCCTTGGCGCATAGACTATATTGGCACAAACTCTCTGCGACGTACTCAGAAGCACCAACACCCGTATGTCCAGATGGTGTGACCAGAATCACTTGTGTGTGATGCAGATGACAAGGGACACTGGCTGTCAAATCTTCATTGTGCCATTGGGGTTCTTCACGGTACTACAAACTAGTTTTTGGACATGTCCATCGTACCCTTTGGGACTTATCAGCTGGTATGGGATGGGTCTTTGCCGTAGAAACTTGCTGACTTCAGGCTCCGTAAATCTTGGAACAAGTTGTTTCCCAGTTTTGGTTGGTGGTTTTGTGTTTTGGTTGGTTGTTTTTCCTTTTTTTTTTTTTTTTTTTTTTTAAACCTTATTGTATGTTTTTTTCCTTGTCTGAATGCATGTTTGAAATACATGCCTATGGACTGTTTTTCTGTTTGGCCAACAGGCAGAGGAATCATGTTTATGATATGCTGCAATCTCATTACCATCCTCCTGGTGCAGGGTCTTTTGCTGATGAGTCATCTACGCTTTTGGCCATGACATAAATTAGCACATTTCTCAATTTTGCTGCTGGGAATAGTGTCGTGAAAACAAAGTCCAGGGAACGGTGTCCTTCATTATTGGTACAGGCTGTTCTTTTAACCCTTTATTCTGCTGTTCCTTGCCGTGTGTGTGTGTACACACTCACACTGTCTTACAGTCATACTGCAGTCATGCCAATAGTAGTATTTCTGTTAAAATTCTTGAAAACAGTCATCTTCAAAATGAAAAACAGCAAGTAAATCTCAAACAAATTTAAAAAAAAAAGAAAAAAGCACACATTTTTGTGGCAGACTGTTCAAACTGAATGTTAACAGCTGCAGTGTAAAAGGAAGAATGTATGTTTGACAGAGGGAGAAGTTGAAAACCCAGCTTTCCCACGTTTCTAGAACTGGCTTGCTCTGGAGGAGTTTTGGAAGCTTTTTATGCTTTGCATGCAGGGAGATCCTCCTCTGCCTTCTTGTTCCAAACTTCTCATCTGGTTTATTTATTCAGTAGAACTGCAAATACTGGATGCATTCTTCTCTCTAGAATTGTTTTTTTGCAAGCTGCAGCATTTTCAAGGCATTTCATTTATAAATTGCACATCATCAAAAGTATTTGCTTTACATACAACCAGTTTGTCATGGAGACCATTGTATGGCATATTAATAACACAGATGACAGGCATGGGTTTGTTGGGGTTTTTTTGGTAAATAACCACCAAAATAACCCGGTTTTGTCAGTGGAGGGTCCTGATACCAGATTTGGTCAAGTCAATGGAACTCACTGTTTTTAGAAGATTTAATTGTAAGTGCTGAAGTGAGCTGTACAGTCTGCAAGGCGATATGATGTTTTCTCACCTTCTTTCTCTCCTTCTTTCTTGCCCTCTCTCTTCCTCTCCCTCTGTATTTACAGGTTATCCTAACATTTGTCTGTGTGTTGACAAAGGAATCTGTAGGAATTGCTCCAGTGCCATATACACTGCAAGACCATCGGTTAGCTTTGGATGGAAGAGACCCCTCCAACCCCTTGAGGAGAGAAAAGAGGCAGGTGCAGTGTCAACTAGGACAATACCTACATCCCCAAGAGACCCACTGCTGCATGAGGTGCCATGCAGGTGTGTAAAATAAGTACAGTAGTAGTGACCTTCACATTAGAGGCATTTCCCTGTCCTGCACTCTCAAAACTGTCCTACAACTACATCAATGTTCCCTTTCCTTGGTACCTATCCCTACCCAGATAAATTCTTATTCCTTATCTCTTCCTTTGGCCTGTCAGTGTCCTTCAGACTAGTGAGAGGAAGCATACTTGGTCCTTACACCATTAATTCCAGGGTTTCTCTGAGGAATTGGTGATTCCCATCCTCCCTAAGATAACATGGTTGCCTTCCTGTCAGAGCTCTGTTAAGTGATTTTCTTGCAGGTACCTATAAGGCAAAAGACTGTGATCGGCCTGGCCAGGCACCTGTCTGTCTTCCGTGTGCTAATGGCACATTCACAGCTGTTGATAACACCATGTCTAAATGCTTCCAGTGTACACATTGCCGTACAGGTGAGTTATCTATAGCACCTGAGGAAAATGGGTGCTAGTGGCAGGTGGGCGGCTGGAGGGGATGGAAAGGTGAGCAAGGAAGCTTGGAAAAGTAAGCAATTGAATGGGCAGAAGGACAGTGTATGAGA